CTTTAGCATGTCATTGAAAAATTACACATTTTAGTCATCAAAAACATTATCCGAACAACGCCAAGACGGAGATTGGGAAGTTTGAAGTCTTCAAATCAAGCTTATCGCCTGGGAGGACAACTAAGTAGCAGACCTACTATCCAAGTGCATTCGTTCGGGGAAGGGGTGCCTCAAAGGCTTATTCGACAGACCATTCTAGAATCAGAAGAGATGCAGCTTGAGACGAAAGGGCCAACTGGTTGGGTGGCCCCCTGAGTCTGGGAAGAACTCGGCTGTTCATTACCATGCACTCCATTCTTTGTCTATCTCTCTCTCTCCTCACTTGCGCTCTATTCATTGGAGCGATTCACGAGCAAATTAGGATGCAACTCTTATCATATAAAATGAAGGGACATAAATAGATAATTGGTTAAAGTCCCATTGAAAATATGGGTTGATTCTTTGATGTCATTATTTAATTTATTTATTTATGGAAGATTTACATTTATACCCTTAATTCCTATATATTTTTTACATATGTTGTCTTATCTATATATGAAATTTTTTCTTTTTCAAGTTAAAATAGTGATGTTTTTGATGTGATAATCAAAGATTTGAGTGGTATGAATGTAAAAAAAACAAAGTTTAGGCGATAGATATGTAAATACATAGGAAATGTTTGGGATATTTGTAAATGGCCCATTAAAAATATTAACTAATTTATCTATATGCTTGCTAGGTTGCCAATATGGCAGTAAATTAATCTAAGGGATTGATCCATGCACGAACTTTGAAGATAGCCAGCTTAGGGCTGAAAATTTAGCTACAAGATTGTGAATTTCTCGAAAATTGGTTTGAATTTTCGATCTTTCGGATCGAAGTAAACGAGCTGAGTTATGAGCAAAACCATGGATTGAATTTTTTTCAAGTTAATTTTGAGCCATACACGAATCGGCTTAAACTTACACGAGAATAGCTTGAAGGTGTTATTTATTCATTTATTTTAAGAAAATTGTATATATAATAGAATGTTAAATAAAATTTTAGAATGAGTTGGATTTTTTTTTTCAGACTTTTTGGTAATTTATTTATATCGATTCATTTTAAGTTGGCTCAATCGAAATGAGTTAGCTTGTTTTGATTTTTGAGCTAGAACGAATCCAAATAGTCTAGCTTGAGCCTACTCGTTTCAATTTCGAGCCGGATAGAGCTTGAATTTTTAGACAAGTTGGCTCAAAATAGAACGCGAGCTATTCTCAGCTCAGCTTGAAGTTGGATTGTTCAGAGCTCTAAGCAAGTTTTATCATCATTATGGAAGCAAAATAACATGTGCATATAAAACTAATTTCATTTGAATTGACTTCTCATGATTTCTAATATATAAGAATTTTCTTATTAGTTCATCCCTAATACTTCGCAATGCTTCTTAAATTAGAATATAATGGGTCATTTACATACATGCCACCAAATACCTATGTATTTACATTTCCAACATCTAAACTTCAATTTTTTACATCTATACCACCAAATCTTTCACATCTGATGAAAAACATCCCATTTTTAAAAAGTGAAATATATGATATGTATATAAAAATTGAACGTTTATGTTAGATCCGTAAATACATAAAAAATTGAGTGGTATGCATGTAAATCTTTATATTTTTATTATCCTGCAAAATGATATTTTATTTTTGTAGTTCCGTTATAAGCTCAATAAAACTTTTTTTTTTAATTAAAAAATTATTAGCTCAATCACAAAACTAATTACTTTGCTTAGTATGATTCATTTGAGTTCAAATTTCTTCACTATTTTGCTTTAAATTTAAATAACTCTCAAATCTTCCATAGAATTCAGTAATTAAAGATGTTTTAATGTATTTTCTTAATATGTAAATCTCCCAAGGGCACGAAATTCATAGAGAGCATAAATATACATACATACATACATACATACATATATATATATATATATATATATAATATTACATATATTATTTATATCAAAGTTTAAAACATAACTACTCAGTTGATAAAGTGGTTAAGTGACTTCTTTTGTATTCATTTGGTCCAGGTTCGACTCGAGCACTTTGCATTTATTTTTTTAGTTTAATTTTAACAAGCAAATTTCGAGCCGAACACGAACACAAACATTTAAGTTGAGCCGAACACGAACACACTGTTCATGAGCCGATTTCGAACACAAACAACTTCAAACGAGTCAAACACGAGCTGAGCTTGAGCTTGCCCAAGCTCAGCTCGTTTACAGCCCAAGCAAAATTATATTTTAAGATCTCTTCACCGAGTTCTAGTTAAATTAACTAATTTAGTTAGCATAAATCTACTTATAATAATTTAAAGATTCAAAATCAATCCAATCTTCCCTTGAACAAATTAATAAACTATATGTTCTAATTAAAAAAAAAATCAATAATTATGTGATATTAAGAAAATTCAACATGTATGTGATAAAAATCCCCTAAAAGACATCCTTACAAGTTGAAGAGAATATTATATACATATTTTGTGTATATGTAGACTCTCCATGTATAATACAATGAACAACGTTCATGT